AAAGTCTGTAATTTTCACTTGATTTAGACCCCTGTAAATGTCCCCTCTTATCTATCACTATGGGTGTGTGAGGTATCAAATGAAAGCTCCGGTTCTCCCCAATAACACGCACCCTTTAGTTTGGTTCTAGTTGTAATCGTGTACACACACTGCCTCTGTACTTAACCCTACCTTGTGGTGCATGTATTTCTCGGATTCCTCCAAAATCATTTTTTTTTTTCCATTCGTGAACATCAGATTGTTCAGTTTTTTATGTGCTGTATTAAGAGTCAGTAAGGGGTTTCTTTGTGAAAAAATTGTTTTGATTGGTTGAAAAACTTTAGCAGGACGGCGAGTTTTGTTACTTCACCCCGTAATATTTTCCCGGCCGCCGCGCTGCTCGTACGGTATTCACCCGAGGTCCCACTTTCACTTTCGCGGATTCTGTGTCGACACGTGTTACGAGAGTTTGCTACCAGAGTGAAAATGGAACGCACGCGGGAAGTACACCTTGAGTGTTTTGTAGAACGTGCGAGGACAAAAGTCAAAAGGTTGAGAAGGCAAACTAGAGCAATATTTTTGTGTCAATTTTAAGAATGACGTACTCAATTCTCGTTCTCTATCATGTGAACGTGGACTGGGATAGTGCAGACACACATCCTGTACACTGTGCAACAAATGTGTAGATCTGCAGCGCATTTAAACCTTAAAGATTTGAGAAGCAACCCTAGCTGCTGCACAAAACAGTATTGAAGAAAGTTCACACATCCGGACACCTTTCGATCAAAATAAAACAGTAGATGCTTGCCCTGTGTGTTCCCTTTGCACACTTCAAAATAAATGTATTAGAAAAGTACACCAAACACCGTCTTGCTCAAAAGACCCACCAGAGCCTCCATCTGTTGAAACACTGACTCATATAATTGCGGCAGACGAACTATCACATGAAAGTACTCAACAGACATAGTAGATCAATCATCACTAGAAATATCACCAGTGAATTCCCCACACAGAGATCTAACCCTTGAGACCCCAGCCGCGACTTCAACATCCAAACGTACAGAGAAAGAGTTCAAAGACAGTGCAACATCTCCTTGCGCGCAGTTTAAAGACACATCACTAGAGCATGCACTTCAGAGACATATTACACAACCATTGTCTGATTTAGAAAAAAACACTCGCTACACAAATGACACGCAGAAAACGTTACTACTCGGCAGAGAAAAAGAAGGTACAGTTGATAACAGGGTGTCCAGCAATATTTGCTGAAAAAATTTACTACCTGGAAAAAAAAATTACTACCCAGCAAATCCCACACCAGTTCGAAAAAAGGGAGTTCATTTGCGCCATCATTAACATATATTATCATTAGGCCTACATAATATATCATATGGAACGAAAATAACACGCAACAAAGTCATCCATTTTCCAGAGGCGTGTTACATAACACACACACACACACAAAATATACCCAGTCACAACATATGTCAGTGTTGAACTGGGGTCCTGTTTGACTAGCCTAAGTATTTCAGTGAGTTATAAATTTTCCTCTCATTATTATATTATATTAAAAAAAGAATCCTGCTTTGAGCGTTCGGAAGGGCCTTGAACAAGAATTTCGACTGTGAGGAACCAATGTGGGTGTCATGACTCATAATATTATGAATATGAAAGGCAAAAATTATTGCTCAAACTCAATAACTTGAATGGCCCCAGTAAACCCATGAAGTGAGAGAATTGTAAGAACTGAGGGGGGAGGGGAAAGAAGATGCAGAGACAATGAAAATTTGCCAGCCTTGAACAGAAAGCTACAATATTGTTATAATTTACTATCACCCATACAAAGTTTTTGTCCTCTGGTGTTGCCTGTAGCACCCCCACCCCCTCCCCCGAGTGCATCTTTAAAAAAATCAATAATCCCCTATCCCATTCGGTAGTCCTAGGCCTATACTTCGCAACGCTCAGACCTTGAATGAACTTTGGCGACCCCAACAACAAACGCCGGTGCTCACGCGCGCACAGGTTCATTGACCAGTCACGATGGCGAGCCCGACAATCTAAAAATCAGACGACGCTTGTACTTTCTTTTCTCTTCCCCCCCCCCCCCCCCCCCCCCCAACCAAAAACCAAAGTCTAAAGGTGAAAGAAACCATTAGGACCAGATTCTATGACTAGATTTTAGTTCACAAATGCAACGATTACCCTGTGGACTTCAAGGCGATTAAAATAATCGCCACACTAGCAACTAAGCTTCACAGTTATGATGGCACAGCAAGCTATTAACCCTGGTCCTGCGGGAGCCAGGTTTAGGTTCCACAATAAACCTATTTCGGCACCACACTTTCCATACGGTCCTGTGTGTCCTGCCCTGGCTCAGAGAAAGCACGCAGAGCATTATCCGCATGATGACCGGGTCCCGTATTCCCACAGCTCAAGTGTGTGCACGTCAGCCAGGTTGAGTTTGTGGCCTACTTCTAGAACCGTATGCGTTGGTTCGCAACAAAGGCATATGTCTCATTCAAAACAATTAAAATATGCTAAGTCGGTAGATCTAGATCAAATTGACCCACTTAGACAGGAGGTTCTCGACTTCCTTTTTTGACTCCCGATGATGTGCAGGCCCAGGCCCTAGCCTATAAGTCTAAATTCTTATGGCTATGGAGTTCGGTCAGGACCACTTCTCCCG